AGAATGTGAAAAAACAAAAGAATTTCATTCTGGTCACTAAGTATGAATCTTTTAAGTTGGAACCTCATGAAAACATTGACAAGATGTATTGCAGATTCAATGATGTTATTAAGGATTTAGAAGTACTTGAAAATGATTACTCTCTAGGTGAGAAAAATAAAAAATTATGAATGCTTTATCCAAGAATTGAGAGAGTAAAGTGACTGCCATTGAGGAAGCTAAAGATTTAAATACCTTACCCATTGAATCTCTTATTAATTCTCAAATTTCTTATGAGCTGAAACTCAAGTCCAAGGTGCAGGAGGAAGAAGATACAAAGGTGAGAAAGAGTATTGCTCTAAAAGCCTCATAAGATGAAGATGATTCAGCCTCCTTAGATGAAGATGACATGGAAGGTGATGACAGTGATATTGCACTCATTACAAAAAGTTTCAAAAGAATACTCAACAAGAGGAGATTCAGAAAAGGTGGACTCAGCAATTCATTTCCAAATCAGTTCAACAACTTGAGAAACAAAGGGAAGGTAGAACTCAACAAAAAGTAAATTGATAAGTGCTTTGAATGCGGCCAATTTGGACACTACGCAAATGAATGTCCAATAAAGAAAAGGAAGAAAAGCAAGGTTGAATGAAAACCAAAATTTAACAATTTTCAGATCACCTGGAATGACTGCAACTCAAAAGGTGAAGTCGAAGAAGAAAAGGAGTCTGCCCAAATGGCTTTCATGGCCATTGGTGATGAAGAGGTAACTACTTGTAACTCTCAAACTGATAGTGATAACGAATTTGATGATGATATTAACTCTTTCATGGAAAGAATGCATAACAGTTTGAAAGGATTCTATGTTAGAAACAAGGAATTAAAACAGAAAATTAACTTTCTGATTCAAGACAATGCAAGCCTTTTTCGACAAAATAAATGTCTGAGAAATGAAAATGAGAACTTGAAAAGGATTGAAAATGATTTGCATGCTAAACTTGATAGAAAGACAAACTTCTGTGACATGCTCAAAAATGAACAAAGTAGCTTGAAAAGAAGAATGGATGATCTTAGTCAGATGTTTCAACATAAGAAACAAAACTGTTTTCAAAGGAATGATACAAAACCTCATTTTGGTACTCATCAGAAAAGGTTGAATCATAGTGCAAATGAGTTTACTATCTATAGGAAAAGGCAAATCAGATTTATTAAACCTGTTCATTTGAATAATTCATTGACTATGTGTAGTTTCTGTTGTCAATTTGGCCACATAAAAAGTAATTGTTATGTTAGGAAAAATATGAGAAATGGCATGAGATACATGTGGATGGTTAGACATAATGCTAACTCTTAAGGACCCAAAAAATAAAGGGTACCAAATATTATCTTGTGGACTTTTGTGTAGGTGAACCTGGTGAACATTGTTAAGGAATCAAAGTGGTTCATAGATAGTGGATGCTCAAGACATATGACTGGTGATCCATCACAGTTCATCAAACTCAATCCAAAAGCAAGCGGAAAGGTAACATTTGGAGATGATAACAAAGCCAAAACTGTTGAAATTGGTGATGTTGGTAAGAATAGTCAAACCTTTGTTCATAATGTTCTTTTAGTTGATAATTTGAGATATAACCTGTTAAGTGTTAGTCAATTGTGTGATAGAAATCTGTTTGTGTTATTTAAAAAGCATGAATGCCTTGTTCTTGATTCTAAGTTCAACACTGTTTTCAAAGGAAAAAGAGTTAATGACATTTATGTAGTTATCCTTGAAAAAGTTGATTCTTCTAGCCTTAGTTGTTTCAAAGTTGTAAATGAGGACCCTTGATTGTGGCATAGAAGGCTTTGTCATTTCAATATGGACCTGTTAAAAGAAATTTTCAAAAAGAATTTGTTAGAGGACTGCCAAAAATCAAATTTGAAAAGGACAGAATTTGTGATACTTGCTAATTTGGAAAACAAGTCAAAGTGTCTTTTAAACCCAAGAAATGTGGTTTTACTACAAAACCTCTAGAACTTTTATATCTTGATTTATTTGGTCCTACACAAACTACCAGCTTAGGTGGCAAAAGATTTTGCTTTGTTGTTGTTGATGATTATTCTAGATACACTTGGGTGATGTTTCTTGCACATAAAGATGATACTTTCAAAAACTTTGTTTCACTATTTGCAAAAGTTCAAAATCTGATTGGATTGAAAATCATCAAAATCAGAAGTGACAATGGCTTAGAATTTCGTTTTTGTGACTTTCCAGAATTTTATAACAACAATGGTATTACACATGAATTTTCAATTGTAAGAGTTCCCCAACAAAATGGAGTTGTTGAAAGAAAGAATAGAACTTTTTAAGAGGCTGCGAGAACCATGCTAAGTGAGTATAATTTACCAAAATACTTTTGGACTGAAGTTATAAATACAGCTTGCTATACTATGAATAGAGTTCTTTTAAAACCAATCTTGAACAAAATCTCCTATGAGCTGATGTTTGATAAAAGCCTGTAGTTGGATACTTTAAAGTTTTTGGTTGCAAATGCTTCGTTTTAAACATCAAGGAACATTTCGGAAAGTTTGATAAAAAATCTGATGAGAGAATTTTCTTGGGATATTGTAAGAATAAGAGAGGTTTTAGAGTCTACAATCGAAGGACTTTGGTTATAGAGGAAGTTATACATATCACTTTTGATGAATCTAATGGTGACATTTCCATAAGTAGTGGTGAAGATGATGATGCAGGTATTAAAGAAGAACTAAAGTAACTCACAATCACTGACCAATGTATTGATTCACCAGAAAATGATTCAAAGGAAGATGAAACTCAAGACAGTCCAGCAAGGGAAGACAATGACAGAGACACTAGTACACCTAACGATCTTCCAAGAGATTGAAAATTTGCTCAAAATCACCCTAAGGAGCTCATCATTGGTGATCCATCCGAGAAGGTCAGAACTCATTCCCCCTCTAAATAACTAATGGATAATTTTGCATTAGTTTCACACTTTGAACCCAAAAATGTCGTTGATGCTTTGAAAGATGAGAACTGGATTTTACCTATGGAAGATGAGTTAAATCAATTTGAAGGGAATAAGGTGTGGACATTAGTTGCTAGACCAAAAAATCATTCTATCATTGGCACAAAGTGAGTTTTTAGAAACAAAATGAATGACAAAGGTGAGGTAGTAAGAAATAAGGCCAAACTTGTAGTCAAGGGATATACTCAAGAAGAAGGAATTAATTTTGATGAATCATTTGCACCCGTAGTTAGTCTGGAATCAATTAGAATATTTTTTGCCTTTGTATGTTTCAAGAACTTTAAATTATTTCAAAAGGATGTTAAAAGTGCTTTCTTAAATGGATTTATTGATCAAGAAATATATGTTGATCAACCTCCTGATTTTGAAAATGGAATTTATCCAAATCATGTGTTTAAACTCTCAAAAGCTTTGTATGGACTAAAACAAGTTCCAAGAGCATGGTATGAACATTTGAGTGATTTTTTGATTGAAAATAGTTTTAAAAGAGGTATTGTGGATACTATTCTTTTCACTAAGCAAAGTTCATGTGAACTTTTAATTGTGTAAATATATGTGGATGATATTATATTCGGTGCTACTAATGAGAATTTGTGCAAGGATTTTTTCAATATCATGTAAAAAGAGTTTGAAATGAGCATGATGGGAGAATTAAATTTCTTCCTTGGACTCCAAGTGGTTCAAACCCAAGATGGAACGTTCATCAATCAAACAAAATACACCAAGGAGATGCTCAAGAGATTTGGAATGGAGGATTCAAAATAGGTCGGAACACCTATGTGCACATGTACCAAACTTGACAAGGATGAAAAAGGTACAAAAGTTGATGAAAAGAAGTATAGAGGTATGATTGGTAGTTTGCTTTACTTAACGGCTAGTAGACCTGATAGCATGTTTGCTGTGTGCTTATGTGCTCATTTTCAGTTTTGTTCAAAGGAATCTCATTTAAATGCAGTAAAAAGAATTCTTAGATATCTAAAAAGAACCTTGAATTTTGGCCTATGGTATTCTAAGTGTCATGAACTTCCTTTGTATGGATTCTCTGATGTTGATTTCGACGGTTGTAGGGTTAATAGAAAAAGTACAACAGGTATATGTAATTTTCTTGGAAATTGCTTAGTATCCTGGTTTAGCAAGAAACAAAATGCTATTTCATTATCTACAACTGAAGCTGAATATGTTGCTGCTGGAGCTCGTTGTGCTCAATTATTGTAGATGAAAAACACATTGAATGATTTTGGATTGATGTATGAGTGTGTGCCTATGTATTGTGATAACACTGGCAGTAAATTTAACAAAAAATCCCATCCAACATTTTAGGACAAAGCACATAGACATAAAGTATCATTTAATTCACGATCTTGTCCATAAGGGTGAAATTTGTGTTCAATATGTCTGTTCAAAAGATCAAATTGCTGATATTCTCACAAAAGTCTTACCACTGGATCAATTTGTATTTTTGAGAACAAAATTGGGTGTTTTAGAAAAAATACTCTAAAAATTCTCTGGTCACTTTTTATCGGACGTCCGATGTGCTGGAACGGACGTCCGACAGTGTTCTTGATCATTTACCCAGAAAATTTCAGTTCGGACGGAGCTGTCGGACGCTCTACTTCATTCGGCCGTCCGAGAATCAAAAATTGCATCTTATAAGGAAGCCCTTTGCGTTATTCAGTTCATTCTTACCCTTCTGTCTCGGATGCAACTCTTCATATTCCCTCAATTTCAAAATTCAAATTCATCTCTCCTCGGAACAAATACCAAAAAATCACTCTGACCGACACCTTCACATACCTATTGCGAGTTTATTGCACATCATCACTTCTTCCAACCGCCAACTACACTATAAATCTCAATTCTTACCCGAAACCCTAACCACAAAAATTTTTCCCTCTGTGGACAGTTCGTGCATCCATTGTAGTTCATACTGCACTCCTCATCGTTTGATACTTATTTGTATCACATTACACAACAAAACCACACTGCATTGCAATCATGGTGAGGATTAGAGGAGGATCCGTGAGTGCCAGACGCACCTTCAAGCTTCGTGATGAGGAGGATGAAGATATTCAAGTTGTCGAACCTTCCATCAAATCATCCAAAAAGAAAACTGGAAATCGTGGTGGAAAAACAAAGCAATTTGCAAGGAAAAAACAGAATGCGCAAACCAGAGAGCCATCTGTTGAACCATCCGATGAGCAGATGGAGGAGTATCAATCTGAAGGGCATCCAGTTAGTGGCAATGAAGAGGAACTGGAGCAGCCTACCAATGTAGATGTAACCACCACGAAATCACCCAAGAAAGGAAAAAAGACTGCCAAAAGGAAGAGCATTGCTCAACCCAAGGGAAGGCAAACTGCTGATCCTTCTGGGGAACAGCAGGATGCAGAGAAAAATGCTGAGGAACAGCAGACTGATGAACCATCTACCAGGAAGTCACCAAGGACAAGGTCTGGTATCCAGGATACTGCACCAACTACTCTGCTCAATGGAAAAAGAAAGCGTCCAGAACATGAACAATCAGAGACCCAAACTGCTGTTGAACCTTCTCCCCTGCCCAAGTTCATCGATGATGAAGCTAGGGAGAGGTTTGAATGGATCTCGCAGAAAGGTTTCATCATTCAAAGGACCATCATTCCCTACGAATTCCGTAAGCTTGACCTTGAACCTGTTCTCAACCTTTTTGAATTCTAAAAATAGACCCATCTTTTGACCATTCCAAACACCTACTATCCTGAAATGCTTCATCAATTTTTTACAAATCTCAGAAAGGGTAAATCACATACTGATCTCATTTCACGTGTCAATTCTGTTAATATAGAGATGAATCCTGAAACTATCAACTCTGTTCTGGAAACCAAAATTGAAGATGGTTTTAAAGATAAAATTGTAAATTTCTTTTCTTACAAAGAATTTTCCTCTGCATACAATTACTTTCATGTTGTAAAATTGATGACATATTTTCAATCTCACTTTAATACTCCTGTTGAGGCAAGATTGGAAGATCTTAGTTCTCAAAACCTGATCATTTTTACCATAATTTCAAATCTGTTGGTGCCCACTGATGTCACAGAACTGATGCAAACAAAATGAAACTTTATCTGTTCTACTGTTTTCTTGAAAAAATTTAAATTGATTTTGGTTTTGTCATGTGAAAATTTCTGCTCAAAATCAGCACTGACAGCCGTAGGAAACTATCCTATGGAAAATTTCTGACTTCTATTTTTATTCATTTTGAAATTCCCTTTACTGGCAAATTTCCAAAAAAGAGCGCATCAACTGTGTTTTCAAAGGCTTACCTTGAAAGGAAAAATCTGAAATTTTTTGAGGGTCATTGGTGCTACAAAGAAACTGTCTTTGAGTTTAGGAGAAAAAATCTTCATGAAACTCTTGTAACCCCTAGAACTCCTCGAGACCAGTCTATGTATGTGACACTCTTCACCATTCATCCTAGAAGGTCAGCCTCTATGCATACTTCATCCAACCTTGAGGTCATCTCTCTGCTTGATGACCTCAAACAACATATCCTGCTTCTTGAAAATGGTTTGATGATGACCATGACAACAAGCCACCTTCGTTGCCAAAAGGAATCTGCTTGTACTACCCATTCCTCCAAAAGATGAAAATGTACACCGAAAGGAGTCTAGAACTGAGCCAACCACTGAGACTACCCCAGAGTACCGTGCCTCCAGTTTTTAACCACAGGACAAGGGAAAAACTCCAGCAATTGAAGAGGAAACTGAAGAGGATGATGATGATGACGATGAGGACACTGAGGAAGAAGACCCTGCCCAGTTTCACCTAGCTAGATGAAAGCCTGGATCCTCTAAGATCACTATATAGGCATTACTAGGTTACTGCACTTCATGATTAGGATAATAGTTCATAGTAGGTTTCTGCATATTTTGCTCTTAAAAATATTTGGTGTGTTCTGTCTTAAGGATTTTACTCCTCTACTGGTTTGTAAAACTATTTAGTTATCCTTTATATTGAATGTTGCTTATTTCAGTTTATCTGCCAATATTAGTTTCTGGTTGATGATGTTTTGGTTTTGGTACTGGATGGATGATGTTGCTGTTCTACTGTGTTTTGTTTTACTGTTTTGCTAAATTCAGTTTGGATGTGTATTGCTGTGTTTTATCTTGCTGATAATACCTGGTAATAATATTGGTGAGCCAATGAACGATCACATTGTTGGTAATATGAATAATTTCACTGGTTGATTCAATGATGACAAAAAGGGGGAGATATGGATATGTAAATGGATATGTAATCTATATGTGAGGGGGAGTCATTTTAAGGGGGAATGAACATTATTCTGAGGGGGAGTTGTGAATAATCATGAGTGAACATTATTCTGAAGGGAAGTTGTGAATACTCTTTGAATGCATTAAGTTAGGGGGAGCAGTATCTAAAACCTTTGTACTCCATTCATTGTTTTGTCATCATCAAAAAGGGGGAGATTGTTTATCTCAATCCGTAACTTTTGATGATTACAAAAAATGGATGTTACTAATATTCTCTGATTAGATCTTTTCAGAATTGGAGAAGAACAGGTTCAAAGGCTAACATATGCTGAAATAGTTGTCGGACACACATAAAGATTGCATCGGCCGTCCGACAATCATTGAGTAACTTCGGACGCATGAAGAACCCACTCTCGAACGTCCGAAAATGATAGGCCAAGTCCTCTAAACTAATTGACCTCGATCGGACGTACAACACCTGAGTACCGGACGTCCGACAAACGTTGCGACACTTCGGACGCAAAACATTGGAGGCACCGGACGTCCGAACGAATTGAAGGAGAATTTTCAGTTTTACATCATACCTTCGGACGCATATTTTGGAGGTACCGGAAGTCCTAAATATTTCAAGAAAACTTCTTGAACTCACTGCCTGCGTTCGGACGCAGAAAACTAGCCTACCCGACGTCCGACACCACCAACGGCTAGTTAACTCATTTGAGCATGGTGGACGGAAAGTAACACTCGTACCACTCACTCCTAGTCAAGTTCGAGAAGATCAACTAAGACTTAAACAAGAGGGTGAGAAGGGAAGAGTTGAGGAAGATAAGGAGAGAAAGTCAGCTTTGTTAATGCGACCTATGTATGTAAAAGACATTTTTTATGCTAACTTTGTTTTGTTTAGCATTCATCGATTTTTGCAGGTTGTCCAGGGCGAAGTTAAACTTATCATGCTATGTGCAATCCTAAGGTCATTTGGATACTTCAATTTGCTGTCCAAAATTTCATCAGAGGACCAAAATTTCACTTTCTTCTTGGAGTTCGAAGCACATGGCATGATTGAACCATTGGGAGAGTTCATTGTTGAAAATGACCGAGCGTATGAAGAGACTTATGGTATCATTTGTTCGCGGGAGGATCCATCGAGATGTTTCTCCTCAAGCATGTTTTGGAGGGTTCTTGATTATGCTTCATATCCGTGGTGTGTGAGCTTCTATATGCTTTCCAAGCGACATGTTGGAAGAATCGTGTGGGTCATGGTCTCAACAAGTATTGTTCCTTCTAAGCGAGTCAATATGATGAAGTTGATAATGAGAGTCACCAATCACTTGTGTTTCTCGAGTCATTCCTTGGAGATTTGAGGACAAATCTTTTCAAGAGAAGGGGAATGATGCGAGATGGAGTTTGTATAAGCTGTCTATTGAAACTCAAGTGGGCCGCAATTTTTAATGTCAAGTTTTTTATTATTATTTTTGCCAAATTAGTAGGAATAAAATCGGTCCAAGATCTCATGTTGAGTTGGATCCGAATTAGATAGTTAGACCCATAATTTGTGATTTGAATTGTTTAGTTTGGAAGGGGTTAGTTTCGGCCAGCCTTATGGGTTCTCTTAGGTCCGAAATTAAGTCCATATTAGAGTAGTCAATTGGGTCAAGTCTTAGTCCAACCCATCTTAGGTATTAGTAGGGTTATTTGTAGTTGTATTTTTTTTCATTGAAGGGGGACAGATTTTGAAAAATTTCCAGCAAAACTCGCTGTTGGGCATTGCCCTCTTCCATGGCTTGCAAAAGCTAAACTTGAGAATCTTAGTGCTGTCCTAAGGTGATCAAAGACTCATCGTTCGAGAAACGCACTCAATCGTGGTGTCTTGCTATCGTTGGTTCGATACTCGAGTGGCTCCTTTTGTCGTTCTCAACTCCATCTTCCAATGTGTTGCCAACCAATCTTCTAGGTCCTGGTCATAGTATTGAGTTCGTATCACCAACTCTCGCCAGAACTTGATACAAGACGAATTCAATTTATGGATAATCAATCAATACTAAAAGTCGAAGATATAAAGAAAGGCCGCTTCCTTAATAAATATTCAAATCTTACATCACAAGTTACCAAAAGTACATCAACAATCCCCAAAATATACAACCTCCAAAAGTTGTCTAAACAATTACAATCAAAATCCTAATCAAAAGTCCATCAAGTTGGCTTTTCTATAATTCTTTCCATTTCGGCACCTGTTAAGGAAAACAAAACTAATGGATGACCTAATGCTCAGTAAGGCCAAGAAAAGCATGCAAACACATAGTTCACGTAGCAATAGCTTTTATATGAGAAATAAAGCTATAACATTCAAGTAATTCACAATTTAAAATAAAACACACTCAATGAGGATACGGATGCTCTCAGGAGTTAGATTCCACTTGCTTTGACGATTCTCGATCATATACCTTCACGTGATGACACTCCGTCAACCGGGTAGTAGGGGTGGGCAAAATTATCCGCTAACCCGAAAATCCGTCATATCCGATCCTACCTGATCCGAAAATTAGGATATCTGATTTTTGTTATTTGATCAGGTCAAAAGAGGGTCGGGTACACACTAAGATGCGGGGCGGATTAGGGTCAAATAATTAAAAACCCGCGGGTACCCGATCCGCCCCGTATATATATTTTTATTTTTATACACACACTATAAAATAATAAGTTAGTACTAAATAAGTAATTTTATTGAACAAATTGCATTACAAATATGAGAGACTATAGTTTATTTACAAGATTCATTTGTAAAGGCCATGATCTTATATTTTATAGAAAAAAGTTTAATTAATGTGGAACATATATATTAAAAATTGTGCTACTTATTTCAAACTTTTATTGATTTTGAATTCTTTTAATTTTTTTTCCTTTATCTTATATTCTCTTTACATGTTTGTTTCTTGGTGGGAAACTTTTTTTTAAAAAAAAATTTATTAAATTTTAAATAAATGTGTAAAATATAAAATTAAATTGGTATAAATCATTTAAAAAAAATTAAATGATAAATGGGACGGGGCGGGTACTCGCTGACCCGACCATATCTCAGCGGGTATCCTATAATCGGATACTCGCTGATATACGGGGCGGGTAAGGGTCAGAAAATGACTGACCCGCAAGGTGCGGGTCGGGTCAGCCAAATGGTGAATGGGGCGGGTACCCGACCCGCGCCCATCCCTACCGGGTAGGTATATTTAGTCTGTAGAACACCGCTTTACTTTACGAATCCCGTTCACCGTTACACCCCCTGTTCCGGGCCCACTCATCATTTTAAAAGGCGATACTACTCGAGTATGCCAAGCGAGATCTCTCAAATAGATCAAACTTTACGAATTTCTCATGGTTCACCAAATTTCTCGACCAAACCCGTGCCGGCTTGAGTCACAAGGTTAGCCTATGAGTTTGGGCGTCCCCCGAATATACATATAAGTCGACGAGACAACGCTCTAATCGACAATCACAAATACGATTCACAACCACATCACTTCACACAAGTCGAATATCAATTCACATAGCGAAATTCGATCATAATTTCATTTAAAAGAAAACGAGTGTGATAAAGTACACACTCGTCTCGGCAATTCTAATTCACATAATTGACAAAAAGCAATTCACGTACTCAACAAAATTCACGCACTTGACACTCACCAAGTCAAAAGTGAGTAAGTGAGTAAATAAACTTTTAGGCGTCCGCTCCGAGATTCTCTTGAAAATCCTCTTGAGTGTCTGAAGAAACAATAATTGACTATCACTCACAAATACTTACAAACCCCTTGCCAACAAGGAAGAATGTACACTTGTGCAATACTAAGACAATGTCATGAAAGAGAACTTTAAATCTCTCGAAAATCGAGGTTCAAAATTGAGGATTTAAAGTCCCAAGAGAGACTTGCCTCTTCATGAAATCGAGTTTAAAAACGGTCTATCAATATCGAGAGAGAGTGACAAGTTCTCAAAACTCATTTCTTAAGAAATCGAAAAATTTCTGTTTTACGTGACAAAATTGGAAAAATCAAATCTTGAGTTTAGCATGTCCAAAAATGGAAAATTTTATACCATCGGAAACTAGGTTCGAAGTACTAAAGTTCTCAGGAGACACTTTTCCAAGATTCCAATTAGAACGCATTCATAAATCTGCTCAAATTTACAGTTCCTAGAGGACAGGTTTGAACCAGTCTTGTTTTTCAGCAATCTTTGGAAATTCGACAAAATTCACCGGAAGTGAATCAACCTCTGAAATTTATAACACAATAAGAGTTCCAAACCAGGTTTCAAACCCAACAAGCAGAACTAAATTCGGAGTTTTGAGCGTCAAGATACAGTAGCTTAAAGTCGGCTAAATTTTGTACACTGAACAGAAATTTCCAGATTTGAAGAGCCATCTTTGGGTATCGAAATGGTATTGAAATTATTCCAAATTTGGTACACTTAAACTTCCATATGTGAACTATCTCTTCATCAAATTTTACTCAAAAACTCACGTGGGAAGATAGTTAACAAGACTACCAAAGTTTGGGAAATTCTCATGGCTAATCTGCC